TTCCATATGAGTGGGATTATGGGAGGTAGTCCCTCAAGATCAGAAAAGATATCACTATGTGTATTTAAGAAAATATTTTTATAATTATTTCATTTTAATCTTCTTCTTTTTTCGACCTCGCTAAAAATCCTCATTTTTCTACTCTTATAAATTGATAGATTAAAATATATTAAAACCGAGCACTTCATCATAAACGTTAAAACGTTGTTACTACTATTAATAAATTGAATAGTAAAAACTAATATAGTTTATTGAATCATGGTATCTCTGTGAATAACTGTGATAAGAATCTAGATCCGTGCATTGCTGTCGTTTATGCCTATATAATACCGATTGTTGCTGCAGACTACACATTTTATATCGTAAACTATAGTTTTGTTTAATTTTTTATAATTAATATATATTGATATTATTGGCAGCCTTTTAATTTCACTTATTTGAGGCGCCACATATCAAATTTCCCCCCTTTCTTATTTACTTGGTCGTGGTACACACGTTGACTCTGCAATTGGCTTGTAAAATCCTAGCTGTGTTATTAAAAAGTCTCAGTTAAGTAGTTAACTATGTGTCAACTGATACATCGTACGTATGTTGTATATGTAGCATATATATTATTAAAATACGTCACTTTTACGTGTATCCGTTTGAATATCAAAAAACACTCAGCCCAAAAATAATTATATGCACAATACGACGCGAACTATGATAGTAATATTTTAACGACAATGCGTCATTGTTCCGCGACTGATAGTATGTTATTCCGGCATACACTAGAGAACTGTCAATATATTATTATCGTAAACTGTTATTAGATGGGGGGGGGGGGAAAAAAAAAATCCGCTCGTTGTAGCGAGATAAAAAAAAAAAATAAATAACGCCGTTAGCCGTGGTTAAGGTGAAGCAGAACGCTGCGCAAGGGGCTGTGTCCGGTTAAGACGGATAGTTATAGATAGACATACAGATAGTAATATCATTGTACCACAACGACGACGTCAAGACCGTAAATAAGGATTTATACTTTTATCTTAAGCGCGTCCGGAAATTGCAGTCTACACATTATTCGCATCAGATTCAGTTGCGCTATTGTTTAAGATATCTTCTGTACCGTGATAATATATTAAAGTCTGAAACCCAATCGCTTATCAAATTATCGATATAATTATCATATTTATATGATATATTGTGTACTTACGTGTAATATTAAAAATATTGTTACAATCACTGACTAAAAAAAAAAAAAATACTCTTTACTTCAAACAGTACAGACCTATGTCAAATATTTTGGTTATATTGTTTTGCGTTTGTTCTTTATTTACACTGTTTGACGTAAAACGGTTGCCTTGAGGGTCCAAACATAATTTTTGGCCAACTGCGGGGTCGTTGTGTTTCCACCATTTTCAGAGCCATCAGCACGTTTTAATGCGAGACACTAAATATTGTTTTACGGTTAACGGTTTTATTAGTAAAATATTAATTTTTTTTTTTTTGTTGTTGTTGTTGTGTGTTTTGGAAATTCGATTACTTGCACATCTTGTCGTGTTTACTGTTTAAATTTCGGATACTGTTGTAGTGGCGGGATCGAGTTCTTCTTCTCTTTTGTACCTTTTATATATATAGATTATAGGTGTATAATAATTTGCATTAAACGAACATGTGTTAATATTTATGGACTAGTGTGTTAAACATCACAAAATATATTATATTTATATTATTAAACGCAACCGTTTTGGTATTAAGTTACGGACACTTTATGTAATAATATAAAATTCCATCGATGAAAATCGATATTGTAGCTCCTCGCAGGGAACACTGCATGCGATATGCCACGTAGCGTTATAATTTATAATGTGTTTTACACATACTTAAGATATTTTCTAAGCATAATAGTTTTTAAACTTAAGTATTATGCACAATTATCAGACATTTCTTATTTAAAAATGTTTTGAAAAAACACAAGCAGTAATATTTATTGTACATGAAATAGTTATTCTGAACCATGATTTATACCATATAATCATCATTGTACTTATAGTATTTAAAAGCTACATAAGTACATTCAATTTTATACGTACGTCGGACATATAATACATAATATCAAAACATTTGTTTTTGTACATAATATTTGTATTTTTAGTACAATTTTGTAATTTAATTAATTCCAGTATGTCATAAATAACAAGATATTATTCAATTTAATATTATTGTGATACATTATTTCTACAGCATTGTGATTTTGAATTAATATTTTAGTTGCAGTAATAAAACATCTAGCCCAGATAGAGTTATTTAGTGTATAATTAATAATACCTAATTGGAAAATATATGCTCCGTAAAAGTGCCACCGTCAAAAGTTTATATTATTCCTATAATATTTGATTATTAATTAATTATATATACAGGATTTTGGCAACTAATTCCTAGCTAGTTCCAAAAAATTGAATTAATTTGGGAACAAATCGTTAATAATTTGTATTTACTGACCTAATAATCTCAAGTTTTATTATTTATGTAGGTATTTGTATTTTGCAATTTAGGTATGAAATTATATTTTTTTTTTTTTTAACTAAGAACATTTCTTAGAAATATTAAAAAAAAAAATTGTATACCTAATTGATTTAGTTTTAGCTATAGTGCATTCTATAAAGAACTAATGTATTATTTAATATGCATTCAAATTTATTTATTTTAACTAGAATTATAATGACTCTTATATTTTGGTAATTTTCTGTTTCGTTATCGATTTTTTTAAAACACTTGATCAAGTTACACCATCCTTGTCGAAGAACATTAATTTTAAAAATAACGCGTTAAACACAAAAACTGTTTATTAATTAAAAGTAATATTATTACTTTATCACATTATTTACCGGACATAATTTGTTCAATATTTATCAAATTTCGAAAATCTGATTTATTACATACCCAATTATAATTGCTGGTTCGGTAAAATGAACGAAGCCAGAGAGATTGAAAAGTACCAATTAAATATCATACTATTTAAATGATAGGAAAAAAATTAATTAACGTTATTCGGATGTGTTAATATAAGGTTTTAAGATAATTTTAATTATATTTTCTTAATATATTATAATATATCAGATGCATTTGAAAAAACAATGGGTTCAAAAATCGTGATGTTGTTTGTTTTTATGAATGACTAGGTTCTCGGTTTTTTCTTTATTATTATTACTATTAACAAATTAAAAACCTTTCTAATCACTGACAATATTCTGTGACTATGCTTTCGTTATACTTTTGTGTAGGTACCTAACAATAACAATCGCGTGCAGCACATAGCGTGTTATAACTTCGTTGATCGCTAAAAAAAAAAATAATAATAATATTTATGCATATTGTAATTTACGTTATTTAAGTTTTTTTCTCTTCTGCTTTCCAAATTAGACGGGTAATTTGTAATTTTACGTAACACAATTAATGCCCCGGCATAAAAATATAATTTCTTTCCTTCATAGAAAATGTTAACAAACAATTTAGCAAAGTATAAAATTATAAAATATTGAAGATTTTGTCCTTAGGCTGTATTATAAAAACGTGACCACCAATAAACTCTGTTAAATGAGTTAAATATAATGTTATTTTAGTTGATAATAAAGTTTCATATTTAGGTCCATGCAGTCGTAGACGATTTTTTTTAAACAAACAAATTTTTCGGTCGTTTATTAATCACGGTTCTAACGAACACAATAATTCGGCTATATATTATATTAATATCGACTGTACCATCGATATTAAGTGTACTTAACATAAAAGGATTGAAATACATGACACATTTACACTAAAAACCTTTGGAATGTGCCTAAGTATGAAGCAATTGATGATTGAACAGCTAGTACATATACAAAATATTTGATATGTTAATACATATACTATAAAATCAATAACTCAACTGCTCCCTCACTCACTTTCTCCACTTAAAATTTAAAATTGAATTGAATTATTAAAAAAAAAAAAAAAATATTTTCTATATTTTTTTACATTGTACACCTTTATCTGTACACGTTTTTTTTATCTATTTAAAATAAAAAGTATATATCAATTGATCTTTACATATGTATATTGGTATTTATTACATTACATAAGTATAATACAAATATAATTTTTTAGAGAATTAAACGCTATACAACTTAACCTCTCTATTGCCTAATAATGTATTGCCATGCAAGATACTTTAATCTTTCGTTATCAATCAAAAGCCTAGTGGCCGGGCTTGATTTTATTAAAATTAGTTATTACCATTTACGTACGTACACTGCAACAATACTGCAATAATTTTATTATACACGTATCAAATCAACTATTATTTTAATATGTCTCTAGTGCCTATACGGTATAATTCTAGTTAATTAATATCAAACGACTTTAATTAATAGGCGATTGATTAGTATGATTTTTGTCGTTTGCCACACTGCTCCTTCTGACGAGGTTATATTTTTAATCCGATTTTTGACGATTTTTAGTTTATAGATATAAAACGGACTGCCACACGATTTCTGATCATATAGCATTAATATATAACGTTATGTGTTATACTATTGCGGTTACTTTATCTCGCGTCGTGCATTTCTGTGAATTATCGTATATTAGATTATAAAAATAACGCGAATGGGTTGGACGACTTTCGCATTTTATAAGTAGAGACGCTGTGGATCACTGATGATACTAATTTTCCATTAAAAACATAGTATATTTTAGCTTGTGACTAGAATTTATTATTTATTCAACGTTAAAATTAGATCTAATATGAAACAAGACGTACAAAAACCGTACTCGTTTTGACATTTCTGTTTTATGTGAACGTATTTATTTTTTTCATCAACATTTTTAAACGTATTTTTGATTTGTGCATAATACACATGTTCGATTAAAAAAAGAACATTACACTACTTTACACATGTATGCTGTCCGGATATTAACTCGTCCTACTCCGTATACGACTTAAATTATACATTTTTTATTTTAATGTTTAAATCTGTTCACAGGAAGTGATTGACGAATATTTGGAAAGGTCAAAACGTCGAGGATCAGACTACAAAGAAATCGATGCGAAATGTCTGCGATGGCGGCCCCGTACAGCAGCTCCCACCCCAGCCGGGCCCACGTGAAATTTACCTGTTCGCAGTGAGTGGGTGTAAAATATTTTTAGTATTATGATACGTTGCTACATTTTTTTTTATTTTTATGTTCCATTATATAAATCTGGTATTGTTTAAAATATATTTATGTTAAAAAAAAAAAAGAAAAGATTTTGAGATTTACCAGATGTTTCTTTGTTAACCTCGATAAACGTCAATATGTATGGAGAAATACGGTTTAATAATCGTTTTTAATAAAATTATTTTACCCAACACTTTTGCTGTCTTTACTTCGACAATAATAATCGATATAAGCAGTTGACATTTTATAAACCAAATCAAAGCGTCAGTAAAATTCTTCAATGAGTTTAGACTTTTAGAATAGTAAGCAGACCCATAGGAAACTCAAATTTTAAAGGGGAAATTAGAAAAAAACAATATTGATACTATTTTTAGTTTATTTATTCTGCTGTCAATTTCCGTCTTAAATCCATTAATAACTATCTAAATATAACTCAATAAAACTAAACTTTGAATATTTTTTAGGGCTTGCAATAAGAATTTTGTTTTAAAAAATAAACTAAATAATATTTTAAATTAAAATAATAAAAATAATTTTTTTTTTTTTTAATTAATACAGCTGTAATTTTCTTTTATTTTACTTATTAAAATCCATTAATAATACGTCCAAATTTAAGTTTTCAGTCCGTTTGGACTTTAACGCCAATAAAGCCAAGTTGGAAAACCGGTTATGTTTCATTAATTGCCGTTGAGGATTCTCAAGTCTGGTTAAGCAGAAAAATGTCGATTCGCTAACTGTTGAGTTACATCCAAATACTTCAATTGCTGTTATCATTTCAAATATAACTTGGAATGCTTTACGTTTTAGATAAAGCTATAACAAAATATCCTCATTAGTTATAGTATTATTATTTTTTTTTTTTTTTTTTTTTAATTTGCTTTTTATTTAATAATAATTATAGTATTTTCTTTTAAATAGTTTTTTTACACAAATTGTTTCTACTTTTGAAAGAATTTTAATATTAAGATATTTAATATGCTTATCATTTTTTTTTCAAAACGAATTTTCATTTCAGTTTTATTAGGTCAATAACATGGTAAAAATTACATAATAATGAAATGCTAGTATAATTTTCGACATATGCTTAAGTACCAGATTATTCACTTAAAATATAATCATTGAAATTTGTAGTAGTCTTTTTCTTACGTTATAGAGATTTAGTTTTGTTTTCGGGTAACAAACTTTTTAGGGGCAGGGAGGAGAGGCAACAATTAAAACCAGGGAACAATGCCTTCTTTTACCCCCCTCCCCGGAGGCTACGGTCCCGGTAGTAAGTAATTATACGATGATACTGTTCTCGGAAATTCGTAATACACCATGCCTACGTTTTCACTTAAATATAAAACAAATTAATTAGCGATTTTCAGGAGTATCATTCTCGTCATTATGACAAAAACGTAAATATTATTATTTCATTACTTCAATTTTACCTTATTTCAAAAAAAATAAATAAATGAATGAATAAACAAAGTCTGTATAAGTTTTATCTTGCTACGTTATAAAAATGCCTGCGGAAAAAAATTACCTTACTTGTACACCGAATTATTAAATTTAATATTATACTACCGACAGGTTCTCTATACAGTCATTCCTTTATTTTGTTGCTAAAAAAAAATAAATTTGAAAAAATTGAGTTTGTAATTGAAATATTATATCCAAAGTTTATCAAAATATACAGTATGTCGTATGCTTATAGATTTACCGTTTATGTAAGAATAACAAAAAATAAAAACAAACAAATGTTTAGTGTGATGTTGTAAAGTCACGTTTTACTAAACTTAATAACAACAAACCACCTAACTTGATTTATATATTTTGTCCGTCTAATGGATGCATCTATCCGCAGTTGTTATTTGACTCTGCTGTGATGTATTGTCACGGTACATTTGAGCACGTGTCTGTATATTTATTTTATAAATTCAATGTTTTGTCACTTTACATTTTTTGCGAGGTAAATGCATTATTTGGCAACGTTAGTGTGACGTTATTTATCAAACTTATCTCGGTTGTATTCGTCTTTAAAATCAAGGCACATTTTGGCTTAACGTTGAATAGTTCAAGCCCAGTTAATTATTTAGTTATTTAAAATGTAAGTTTTTATCTTCCAACACTTAACCGAGCCAAACGATGACGGATAAATCCCCAAAGTATACAACACAACATTACTTCATCTAATTTAACCTTATGCTTAATTTACACCCGTTTTTAATCGATCGGAAAATCGTATAATCCCTTTTTTTCACATAAATAATAATAATAATAACACGCACCTGTGATTGTAAAAATAAAACCACTTTACACTAAATTCGTCCTCTGACTTGTATTACTCGTGCAATATCATCGTGTATCAAATATAATGAAAAACGTGAATCGCTATCATAAATTATATTTTTACAGGTTTTTTCTTAATATATAGTTATTATTAGGTATTATAAATTATAATGTAACATTCGTTGAGCGCTATCTAGCCTACCATCGCCGTTGGGGGTGTATAAATAAATGTATAAAATCATCTCCAAATTAAATATAGTATAATATGTTATTTTACGTATATAATATGCTCTAATAATATTATAAATTGTATGAAAATAGTTCGTGATGAGAGTGGGTATTGTGTTGTGATCGTTCATTATTGAAATACTAAAGGTTTCAGTTCGATCACTATATTATATGCCCGATTTCAATATGCTATACGTACACGCCATAACTTCCATTTTCTACCGTATTCGCGATTTGCACATTAAAGGCCACCGCGTTTTCCCGCACTTCCGGTATAGCTTTTAATATGGTAAAATAGGCAGAATATTTAATTGCGTCTCTTCTTATATTGTCATCGATGACAATATAAAATCAAACGTGCATACGTTATTCTATTTTTAAACTGAAATTGTTTATGCACAACCCTGCATCCAAAGTATTTCTAAATCAATGAAATAAGTAAAATATATTTCTTTAAAATGAGAAACATACACCGAAAAAAATTGTTTTGAATTTTAAAAAAATGAACCATTTTTTACAGCAGTAGTCCAAGTGCTCGCCTAAAAAAAAAATGAAGTATTTAAAAATAAAAATAGATAAGTATAAAGTATTTTTATTTCTGTATATTATAACGAATAAGAAATCGGTACATTATACATATATACGAGTATGTAAAAAAAAAAAATAATAATAAAATAAATACAAGCACTAGTTCAAATAAAAATAAAATATGTAAACTTTTTTAGGAAAACGCAATAATAATGTGACTGAAATGTCGATAATATTATACACTATGTTCAGTTAAAAACCCAAACATATACATAAATATGCGGATTACATAATGAATAATGATTATATACCTATTATACGTATACGCCGCCAAAAGACATGAAAAATTGTGCATGACGTAATATATTTCTAACGTTTCGATCGAATAGAATAAAATATAATATTCTAGCGTTACTGTATATTGCACGTCATGTTTTATACGAGCTGTGTACTATAATGTTGTGTCGCACACGGCCAACAGTGTCGGAATCGACTGCTGCGGTATATTAATACCATCTACGCGGAAATGCGCATCAACTTCCGTGCCACTCTACGCGCATATAATAATAATAATAATAATATGTGCATGCATAATTGTGTACGAACTGCATCACTATTCACTGCGCGATCCCTCGAGGTTGGTCGGGAAGTTTGCCGCTGCATAATATTATACCGTGCGGGCGGTCGGGCGTTTTCGCGTTCGCGTTTTGACACTTGAGATTATAATTGCCGCGCGTGAATTGTGACGCGCGCACAGGTCGTGTTATTATTATTTTCAAATTACACGCCGCGCAACTCGAGTGCACTCGGTGGAGGTAGAGGACGGCACTACTCGCGTTACCGCAGCGGTTGCCTTTTGATTTTCGAGTCACACATGTCGCGCGTTTCGGGACATCGGTCGAAGAGGGACATCGAACCGAAAAAAGAGACGCAAAATTTATATATGTATTTAAAAAAAAAAAAAAAAAAAGAAAAGAAACTGTCAGAACGAGCTCGCGTTCCTGTTGTAGGTTCAATCCACCCACTCGCTTTATCGGGGCGGATCACGGCGGTTACTAGCCGTGTTAACGGACACGCGCGTGGTACCTACGTAGTATTTGATTCCGAACGATGCGAGGACGATAATGGTTTTACGGCGCAGTCTTGAAAAGAAAATCGTTTTTTTTTTTTTTTTTTTCTTTCATTTTTATGATTTTTCGCCGTTGACATTCCTTTTGGGTAGAACGATTGCTCGCGAACGTCTCGTAATATAATATGTCTTTGAATAGGTTGGAAGTCGAATCTAAATGGTACCTGTTTTGAAAACATATTTTTTCGATAAACTTGATAGGTATAGGTACTAGTAATTTCCTTGATCATTTGAGGAAAAACAACCACCGACGGTTGATGGTCGAGATCAAAAACAAGATTCGTTCTCGTATCGAAATCAAAAAAAACATCGAATTCACGACAAATACACACAATCACGCCGTTATATTATTACATTAGGAGGAGTACATTTACTGTACATTTATTTACTTAACAAGTAAATGTGTTTACATTTACACGTTTCTCTTTGTAAGTAAATTAAATCTGATACTATTTATTTGAACGTCAAACGTAACGTATAATAATTATGTACTGGAGAACTTACGAAGTATATAAAACGAAACATAACCTTACCTATAAGATATATCCGCTTATATAATATGTATACCGTTGATACCATTTGATGAAAATATTTGAAATAAAAAAAAAAAATGTTTTCGTTGCACTTATCAAAGTTGAAACTGTTCTTGCCCATGACCCCAGATGAAAATAATATATAACATCACTGTTATCTTTGCCTACGTTCATTGGCCGGCGCGATAAGTTAACATAATAAATATTTAACATTATGCACGCCATCCACTTGATGCATGTTTTTTGGTCACAATTTGCAAATGAATTATCGGCGCTTAC